GTACTACAAAAAAAAATTGTTGTCAAAGCTTTGTTTTTATTTTATGGCACTAAATTGATTGCATAAAATTTTGTTGATGCATCTCTTAGCTGTTTTTATCTTTTTAATTGTCAATTTTCAATAAGGGTTTTCGTGTTAGATTATTCTTTGCTTTGATTCCAGAGAGGAATGCTGGATTTTGATGCGGCTCAATTTGATGGCATCCTCAAAAAGATTTCAGAGTTCAACAATGCTCTACTGGCTGACTTGGTAGATTTGCAACCCCTTATTCTATTTTATTTATTTATTTATTTTTCATTTGTTCTCATTTTTTTGTCTGTGATAGTTTTATGTTGCACCAATGTTCTGTGATAGTTTTATGTTGCACTAATGTTCTTCATCATGTTTTCATTACTTACTTTTGGGTCATCTTATACATCACTTTGTTGTGCTGACAGCTCATACGAATATTTTAAACCTTTACACTTTTCTACTTGTGATTGTATATGTAACGGTTTCCTTAACAGACTTCATCTCTGGTTTTAGATTTATCCATGGGTTTCATAGACTCAATTGTTCATTTGCTACATAATTATGTCTTGTTTATGCATTTGTTTATTGGTCTTTTACTACCTGCCTGATTTTCCTATGTTGCTGTGCTGTTGGTACGCTGTTCCATCATTGTGGTTATGTTATATTGAGTTTCTTGTATAATGGATCAATTGACATTCTTGTGAAGGAAAAAAAGGACTTGTCTTTGACGGAGCTGGAGATATCTAGATTGGGTGCTATTGTTAAAATTCTGAAGGACACATCACATTATCATTCGAGCAGCTTTGCTGATGTTGACATTGCCTTGTTGCTGAAATTGCTGAAATCATGGCCACTTTCAATGATATTTCCTGGTTAGTTTGAAGAAACTTTTACTCTTATAGTTTGTGGTCTCTCTTTTAGTTTTTTTTTTTCTTTGGTTTGGTGGTGTTATTTAAAGCTGCTTTGAGGAAGAGTCCTTGGTAGTTGCTCTTTATTTTTTTTTATTTAATTGAAGCACCAATTATTTGAAAAGCTGGATGCGTTGGTTTTCCTTTCTTGCACTTTATGATCAATTACAATTGTATGCTTGTTTATGTCAACTCTAGATTGACTTCCTTATATATTTCAAGTACATTATTCACCTTTCCAGTGGTGTGCTTCTACTTGTGCAGTTATTGATATTCTGAGGATGATCGTCCTGCACCCTGATGGTGCGAGTATACTTCTCAGGCATGTTGAAGACAATGGTACCTAGCTTAAAGATTCTCTGTTTCTTACTCTGCCTTTCTCTCTGATAATTAATTGTTGGCACTGGCAATATAAATTTTAAATTTGAGTTGTGCCCTATGTATGAATCTAGCCCAACTTTATTGACGAAACTCCTATGAACTGGTTAGTTCCTATTTTGTTGATAAAAATCTAATGAACAGGTTGATAAACTAGATGGCCTAAGAATTGGGCCCCTAGTTGCTTTGGCATAAACTTGTCCTCTAAAACATATACATATAGTAGTAGATATATATTGTTTGCAATTATTCCTCTTTGTTATATTCTATGTTAAGTATTAACTTCAAATTTATGTGCTGAACCAGATGTGCTAATGGTAATGATTATGAAAGTCACTAAAGATCCTGTACTTCCTGCAAATCTTTTAACCAGCATCCGTGCTGTAACTAATCTTTTCAAGAATACATGCTACTATGGCTGGTTACAAAAGAATCGCAGTGATGTAAGTATGCCTCCTCTGTTAGCATATTCTGAGTTTAATTACAAATTTCCAGTGAGAAGTAACATTAAAATGTTATTTAGGTAAATCATCAAGGTTTTTGACACTGGTCTTTTGAGTGGTTAAAATTTGACGTTCAGTTTCATTGGCCTTGGAGTCTTGCTTCACTGCCTTGAAGTGGTCCTTGTTTTTCATTGGATATGAAATAATGTGATATGTGTGTAGCTTCTGCTCTGTTTATTTTCTTATGCAGTTGTGGTTAGGTATTTGAGTTTGGCTATTATATTTCCTTTTCTTTTCAATAAATATTTAAGAATATTAAATTTTATATTTGGCATAGCCTTGATGGATGTTAATTATAAGCATTTGATGCTAACCAAAAGTTTGGTGATGCACATTTGCCTGCTAACTGGATTGTCAGTTCTACTTTGATTTGTTTATTTACTCTCCTGTGTGACAAACTGTTACTAGTGTCTTGTTTCATGGGTTTGTACAATGGATGTTGCCAATTCCTGATCTTAACAAGTAGTAACAAATATACTCATAAGATCTAGGCAATAAATCTTTAATTTACTCATCTGCAAATTATATTTCTCAGCTTTTTCTCTGCACTTTATGTTTGCATATGTCAATGCTGTAGTCTACTTGATATGTTCTCTTGAAAAGCTATTGACTGAAAAGAAAATAGTTCTTAGGGTAATGCCTTTATTTATTTCATGCTTGGCATGTCTTGCATTTTGATAATGCTTTGTTATCGTTTTATATTTTGGTATTGCTTTCAGATGTTTTGGCCAGCTAAGCATAGACTAGTTTTTGTTTTTCCCCTTTACGTTAGGGTTCTGCCCTTCTTCATCAAACAAAAGAAAAAAATAGAATAATAATTTCTGATGATTTATTCTGTTATTCTTGCAGATTCTTGATGCATTTTGGAATTGTCTTGCATCTCCAAACAAGAATTTGCAGTTGGCTTATTCTACCCTGATTCTGAAGTAAGCATTCTGTTTATGTAAATAAGCATGCATTGGTTTTGTTTAAGTGAAAACAATTGTGACAGTTAAAGGTTGCCCTTTCTTTTGGATATTGTTTGTCCTAAAAGTTCCTAGTGGACTTTTTTCTTTCTGTTAATCTTTTTCACTTCTATGGGTTGAAAAGAGATTTGTGTATGTGTTTTTGTTTTTTTTTTTTTTTTTGGGGGGGGGGGGGTTGCTATGTTATTGCTCCTCTGTTGTTTTCATGCTGACTTTGTTGTTCACATTTCCTTTATAAATTGCTTTTCCGGCTCTGCTGTTATATACATGTTTTTAGCTTTCATTGACTATTGACAGGGAATCACTTATTCTGATATACGTAATCATGTTTGTGCTTCACAGTTATGCAGTGCTGCTAACAGAGAAAAAGGATGAAGAAGGCCAATGTCATGTTCTTTCAGCAGCTTTAGAGGTTTGTCTTATTCTATTATTCCCCAACTTTGGTTGAAAGACTTTTCATCTTTACTGATTTGATGTCTCTTCCCTAACAATTCGATCTTGTGCGCACTGTAGTCTTTCCCTAGTTTGAAATAGCTTCAATGATTTTTTGTTCAGTAGTTATCTTCATTGATGGAAATCCTGAACTGTATCTATTATTCACTTTTTACACAGATTGCTGAGCAGGAAAATCTAGAAGTTGATTCAAGATTCCGAGCTTTAGTTGCCATCGGATCACTGGTATTTTCATCTAACTCATTTGTTCTTACCTTCAGCATGTCAGTTATAGTTGGCTCAGTTGTCATTTGGATTTGTTCGCCACATGTACTGCACATAACAAATTCATAGAAAATTTTTGTTCTAAATGGTATACTTTGTTGTATCCCTTCCACTTGATTAGGCTAAACTTGTATTGCTCCATATACTAAATAAAATCTGAGATTCAATTGTGTTTTTTAGAATCAACCCGTCTGCTGGTGCATCTGACATTCTGCTTCCAGTTTTTTTTTGGGCCTGTCCTGCTTTCAAATGCTAGAACACGTGCATGTTCTGCTATTTCCTTTTTTAAGGAAAAGAAACAATTTAACTCCTGCATCAAAGTTGATGGAGCAATTGATGTTTGTATCTTTGTTAGCTCATAATCATCCATAAGCAGCTTTCTGTGAAAGTATGTGATAAGATTTTTAGAAGTAGTTTTAAATCCTTGTTTGGTAGAATCTAAGCCCAATGAACTGGGACCAGTTGGCTTCTTAGATTGTAATCAATTAAAAAAACTGAATTGTCTTGATTTTTCAGATTTATTTATTGGATCTTTACTTGATTAAGTATGAGATTTCTCAAATTCTTTGTGTGTTTTTTTTTTTTTAAATAAATCTGGCATACAGATGCTTGAGGGTCTGGTTAAAAAAGTAGCCATGGACTTTGATGTTGAGAACATTGCCAAAGTAGCCAAGGCTTCTAACGAAGCCAAGATTGCTGAAATTGGAGCTGACATTGAACAGTTAACAAAACAGAGTTGAAGCTGGTGGTTCTTGGTAAGTGCTTTTTTCTTACAAAACTTGCGTAAAGACTCAACGTTTTAGGCATGCACCTTTTTTATTAATGCTTTTCTGTGTTTACTATCTGAGGCATTTGAGGGAAAGCTTCCTCCATAATGACTGGTTAAATTACTCACACCATACACCTATGCTTTCTTTTTTTTTTTTGGGGGGGGGGGGGGGGGGGGGGGGTTGTTTGGTGCTTAATTCCAGTTTATCCCCAATGAAAAGCCTAGTTCTATTGACTTGATCATGTGTATTTCAACTCTACTTTTTTTGTAGGATAAGCGAATGCTTGAGGTTTGGACGGATCTTTTCGGTGGGTATTGAATAGGAGACTATGGAGGAAAAGTGGATCAAATAGTTCATTTTTACTGATCTTATTATGCAGGGCATTTGGGGTTTCATCTCGGACAAAACCTAATGTTTGCTGCATTTTTGGCCTCTTTATTGTTTCCGAATGGTAAACAGCTTGGACGGATCTTTAGGCTCATCTGTTCACCGAAAAAAAAAAAAGTTATTGGGCCAGAAAATAACTGGTTCTCATTTTAAAACACCACCCCAAAAGGAAAGAACAACTCTTCTCTCTCTTTCGTGATTTTTGGGAATTTCTTGTATCAATATACTGGATTAAAGTTAAAGCAACTGCGATTGGATTAAAATGTTGTCTTTTCATTTTTAATTGTGATGCCTAGCTTGTAGTTAGCTTCCGCTAGCCAAAAACTGTTGATAAGAACACACATAAACATAGTTGAATACTCTATTTCTAGGCTTTCTAGTTCAGCTTTTCTCTAGATCTATGCATATCTTTGCCTGTTCTGCATTCAAAGTCAAGTATAGCCTGTAGGGTGTTTTGGAGCTAGCCAAAATTGTGAAATCCACAGATGGCAATGGTAAGGAAGATAGATTTTAGGACTAAATTTCATCTTCATTAGCAGCCACTGAACTGTACTGAATTTCAGTATATTAAGTATTTTACGATTCTTTTGGTAAAATACTGAAAAAAAAAAAAAGAGAAATGGTACATGAATATGTATATGATTAGAGGATCCGAGGAATAATTACCCCAGATTTCACTTCCATTTTGAGTAAAATTTTTCGTTACCCCATAACAGCATCCTATTCAACTTGGCGGTAACATTCCTCTGCTTCAAATGCCAATGCCTCGGTGCTATTCTCTTATGCAAACTAAACCCAAAGTACTGTGGAAACTCCTTCAATTCCTCCAAACTCCTCTCCATTTCTCCCACCAAGAACTCATACTTGGGCATCAAGTTATCATCAATATTGTACCCAAATATGGCTGGCATTCTAGCACAAAAACTTGCAGCCTCTTCATATCTCAATCCTATGCTCCTCAAGAACCTAATCTTGACCCTGAGCTTCTCCACCCTAGTATTCAAAAGAAAAGCCTTCTGTTTGTTTGGCACATTCAGTTTCTCCACTCCTAGTCCCCTGAGATACTCAAGGGTAGGCCTCAAACAATATTCAACGTCCGAAAACAAGATGTAAGGGCAGTTAACGATCAAACCGCGTGATTCTTGGACAGAAGCATGCAAGTCAGTGATCATGAAATCGAAAACAGGTTCAATTTCAGAGGTATCAAAGTTGTTGGAGAAGAGTTGTGGACAAAGAAAGGCGAGGCGGGAGAAGTCTTGGTCATGAATGCCCTTGGACTTGAGGAAGCTAATGGTGGATAGGACTTGGTCGACAGCTTGAGGGGATGGGAGGTTGTGAGGCTTAGCATTGGGGTCTATAATGCCTAGGGCTTTGAGGTACCGAATGTTTTCACGGTGAGAAGTGCGGAATTTGAGGTAAAGGGGAGTTGGGGTTTTGGGTGTTTGGAGTTGGAGAGATGAAACCAGCATTGTGCTCGTTTTCTTATTGTAGCGGGCGGGGTAGAGGAAAAAAGGTAAATAAACTGCAAATTTGTGTGGTTGTTAGTGGGGCTTTGGAGAGATAAGGTTCTTTCTTTTTTCTTATCTGTGGAGTTTTGGCAATTATAGATATTAGATTTGCTGTCCTTGATCAAGAAACTTTAAAAATTTCTCAATCGGTGAATTTCACTTGCTTGTAATCTTTTAAATATTTATTATTTACTTTAATAAGTTTCATGTATCTATAATTATATGAGATAAAAACACTCTTCTTAGGATAAGCCAACAGCAAAGGTCGTTATTACACAACCAAAAAGAAAATCGCTTTAACTAACACTTCCTGTCCTAAAACACAGAAACTGTAGTTCCAAAAATCCATCAATGGAAACTCTATTAAACCCATCAAAAACCCCAAAACTCTTTGCATCAAAAACTCATCTCTTTAAATCATCTCTTCTTCATTCCATTTTCAATCCCCAACCCCATACTCTCTTCAACAGAAGACCTCTCTCTGTCACCATTACTTGCAAAGTGAAAACCTCCCAAGGTCCTAAAAATGATGGGAAAAACATATCCAAGAAGATTTTGCTATCGGACTCTGCTCCAGAACTGAGTAATGGAGAAGTTAAGGGTAAGCCAACGAATGGAGTTGGAGCTTGGGGCCTGGTTACGAAGTTGCCCAAAAGAGTTTTGGCTGTTTTGTCGAACTTGCCTTTGGCTATTGGAGAAATGTTTACTGTTGCTGGCCTTATGGTTCTTGGTAAGTTAAGTCTTTTGTTCTTTGTCTTCACTTTTTTCTTTTCCCAGTTTTTATGGGGTACGGTTGTAATTTGGCAAATTGGGTAAGAATGGATTTGGTACATGTAAAAGTTAGTTTTTAGTTTCTTTTGTTTTGCAAAAATGGAAAGCTGATATTTGGAATATACGTTTAAGATAACGGTTTTGTTTTCCTGTTAATGTCATTTGTGAGTTTTAGTAGGCTAGCATAATCTGTTTAATAAATTGAGGTTCTTAATTGTAGCCGGATTCATTATCATTGGCGGAATTGGCCTTTTCTTATGCAATCCTTCTGTAGGTACTGCAATTGATCAAGGTGAAGCCCCAGAATTCTATTTTCAACAATACCCTGAAGAAAATCCAGTTTTGGGATTCTTCACTTGGAGATGGGTTCTTACCCTGGGATTAGATCACATGTTCTCATCTCCCATTTTCCTTGGAACGTTGGTTCTTCTGGCTACATCACTTATGGCCTGCACTTACACAACACAAATTCCCCTTGTGAAAGTTGCAAGAAGGTTTGATGTTTTCAGCAAATTCCTCTCATCTTTTTTACGGAATAAGTTGGAGATGTTTTCTACTTACAGAAAATCCAAATATGCAGATGGAGCTTCTTGCAATCAGCTGATGCTATACGAAAGCAGGAATTCTCAGAAGCTCTTCCTAGAGCATCCGTTAAAGATTTGGGTGTTGTTCTGATGGGAGCTGGATATGAGGTTATATTCTCCTCTTCTTGCTATGTTAGTATTATTTTAATTTTCTCACTTCATTGGTTGATTATTACTTTAACAATTACTAGAGTTATATGCATTGAGTCATTTTGGGTTCTTCTAAGCATCAGAAAGAATGCATCCCAATGCTGTCTAAATTGTTAATTTGTAAAAAATAATTCCATTCCCGTGTGGATCCATGTCATCTAATGCATCCCAATGCGTGGTTTGGTTAATACAGGTTTTCTTGAAAGGACCATCACTATATGCTTTTAAGGGGCTGGCTGGTCGATTTGCTCCAATTGGAGTACATTTAGCAATGCTGTTGATAATGGCAGGTGGAACTCTTAGTGCAACTGGGAGCTTCAGAGGGTCAGTCACCGTTCCACAGGGGCTCAATTTTGTTATGGGAGATGTATTGGGCCCAACTGGGTTTCTTTCCACTCCGACTGAAGCTTTCAATACTGAAGTTCATGTGAACAGATTCTACATGGACTACTATGACAGTGGAGAGGTAAAAAACAATTTTCTTGATGTTTGCAGACATATAAAGAGGGGAACCTTATGGTAGAGCTTTAATTGTTCTGTACTGAAGATTTATTTTGTCAAAATCTTCCCTACACTTAGACCTTTCTTTTTGAAATCATTTTATGTATTTCTTGGCTTTTCTTGCTTAACTATGCGTAATTTTATTAATTGTTACTTTATTCGAGGATTTCTTCTTTAATTTATTCCCCCTTTGTTTGAGGTTTCACAATTTCACACCGACTTATCATTATTTGATCTCAACGGAAAGGAAGTAACGAGGAAAACACTTAGTGTAAATGACCCCTTAAGATATGGTGGGATCACCATATACCAGACAGATTGGAGTTTTTCAGCCCTGCAAATACTTAAGGATGATGAAGGACCATTCAATTTGGCAATGGCACCTCTAAAGGTCAATGGAGACAAGAAGCTTTATGGGACCTTTCTACCAGTAGGGGACACTGATTCTCCTAATGTGAAGGGAATGTATGTATATCTTTTACAGCTTTGTTTTCGTGCAGTTCAACTTGTTAAATGAAAACTTCTTTTCCTTGCAGGTTCTACTTTTACTGACTTAAAGAAATCAAAACCTAAGGGAAAAGATTGAAACAGGAAGAAGAAAAAAAATATTGAAGTTTTTAATAAGTTTTAGCTTGTTAAAAGCTTGGCATTTGTTTATGCTTATATTGTTATGTGATTTATCTTTTATCTAGAAAATAGATCTTTAGATTATCATCTTAGACGGATACAGGTCTTAGTCTCAGTAGGGATCAGCTACCATGAGTATTTTTGGGTGAATTGCTAATAGTCAAAATTTCTTTCCTGTTTTGCTAATTAATCCTTGATCTGTACTTGTTCCCTTGATCAACTGGAACTTCAGATCAATGCTTGCTCGTGATCTGCAGTCTATTGTCCTATATGATCAACAGGGGAAATTTGCTGGAATGCGACGACCTAACTCGAAGCTTCCTATTGAGATTGATGGAACAAAAATCATAATTGTTGATGCAATTGGCAGCAGTGGTCTTGACTTGAAGGTGATAACTTAAAAAGATTTCTTATGCGACAAATTGTGAAATTTTTCGTTGGATGAAACTTTTATCTTAGTTAACGGAAAACTTTACTTTTATTCAGACAGATCCAGGGGTGCCAACAGTTTATGCTGGATTTGGTGCTCTAATGCTCACAACTTGCATTAGTTACTTGTCTCATGCACAGGTGAGTTCGATGTCCATTATGAGTTTATGTAAAAATGTTTTAAGACTACCATTCTAACCTTTGTGTTCCCTCATTGGTGTCACTATTACCATTGATCTAAATGTGATTGGAATCATCATGTGTTTACGTATTCACTATTTTTTTTTTTTTTGGACATACAAGATATGGGCCTTGCAAGACGGGACAACAGTAATTGTTGGGGGAAAGACTAATCGAGCCAAGGCCGAATTTCCAGATGAAATGAATTGCTTGCTTGATCGGGTTCCTGAAATAGTTGAGTCATGTATCACCAAGCAACCTGATAGCATCGGTGGCTAGCTTTTGAGGCACGATATAGGCAAAAGCATGAGCATACAAGCTGCTACAAATTTGAAGTTTCTGGTAAAATCAAGATATTATTCCATTTTCAACTTCATTCCAACTTAAAAAGTGACAAAACTTTCAAGTGAGACCTTGTGCGCCCTAGTCATGGACAATGCCAGTTTCACACTTTGGCAGCAGAGGAGCAAATTTTGAATTTATGAAATGTATAGTTATTTATTGTGGTTCACAGGACAAAGAAACCAAGCCAAGTTCCATATACACCAAGTATTATACTCACCACTCATGACTTAAAGCTTCAAAACTACCAAAAGTATATTTGTTTATAGCAATACCATTCTTATTTGTTCCTTTATCATTTTCTATCATTACTATCCTTCTAACTTGCTCTCTGGCCATAACAAAATATCACGTGATTCTGGGTTTGACATGTATGGATCTGTCTTAGCAGAAAAAAAAAAGGCTGAGAATGTGATACAATCTGAGATGAGGAAATGATATTTGTTCCTTTTTGTAACTTGTTCAGTAGACATCTGGGGAAGTATTCAACGAGTAGGATTTTGATCTCTCACCAACCAGTTGTTGGTGCAGCCAATTAGTCTGGTAGGACTTGTGGAGGAGCTGCAAAGCTGAAACTTTTGATTTCTTGTCACACCAGCAACTGATGAAATGTCGATTCGTCTCTCAATATTTCTTCCTAACCAATGGTATTTTTGGTTTATTTGTTTGTTTCTTCTGATAACAGGAAGAACAGATTCCAGAATGAAAGCTAACGTGAAAAAAGTGCTTCCATATTTATTGTGAAAACAGCGCTTCCTCGAAAGAAGCTATAGCTTCTCAGAAGTTCACAAATGCAAAAAGATCAGGTAGGAAATTGAAATAGAAGTGCGACTTTAGACTATCATATTTCTATAGATGTGATTGCCAACGAGCCTGATCCCGTCCCCTTAAAAATTGACCACGTATAAGAAGAGTGATTGGATTTTCTACCAATTTCCAAAGTTCGAAATCCCTCAAGGCCATAGTGTAAAATCCAAGAGTAATTTATTTTAGGTTAAAAGCATGCATTCATAGGTTTCGAGTTGTGTTCATAAAATTTGGCATATATATTGTAAAAACAATGATTTTACCAAAGCACATATGTTGGTGATTCTTCATTCCATTTGATTCTGTTAAAGAATTTAACGAAATCTTGAATCAATATCCGAACTGTCTTCTAGCATAAGAACCTTCACATAATTCATGCTATGTTTAAATATCATCTTTTCAATATAATTTTCAGTTCAACTCTTGCAGTTTCTGAACCTCAAAATCATATTACAATTATTGAAAAGTCGGCAGTAACTTGCATGGTTTGTAAGTAGCTACACACATTGAAACTGCATTAAAGCACTTTTGCAGGTTTGCTTCAAAAGAACTAGCCGAATCGAATATCAAAATATAATGTCTCCAAATGAACAAATGACTGAAGTTCAATCGCTTTTTGGAAACCTAAACCATTAAATGCACTTTTCACATCAAATGTGATATGTGAAGCAACCCTGACTTTTTTTACTGATTAGTTCTCACTTTTGGTAGGTGAGCCAAGACTATCAGCTAAGTTTCTGTATAAATATATACATCATATGTATATATTTCAATGTATTCGAGATCACTTAATCTCAAACGGAGAAAATGGCTTCATCAGAAGCAGAGGAAAAGCCATCAGAGGTAAAGACATTTCAAGTGGAGAGACAGACAGGAGAGCAAGCAGTTACGCAAAAGATTACAAAAAAAAGCTGGAAGGAATCAAAGAAAGTGTGGGAGATAGCTGGGCCTGCCATTTTGGTATCAGTCTCTCAGTTTTCGATTGGTTTTGTCACGGTTGCTTGGGCAGGTCACTTGGGAGAACTTGAACTTGCTGCTGTTACCATAACAACAAATGTGATTGAAGGCTTTGTATTTGGTATCATGGTAAGTATCAAAGAAACGCAAACACAATTTGCCTAATGATGATATTCTTGTTTCGATTGTATGGGTACCAAAAGTCTTTGAACTCATTTCAACAAGCGTATCTAAGAAGGTTACAGTTTTCATTTCCTTCTTTGTATCTCAGTATTGTAATAACCAAATGTACCAAATGGTCATATTAGAAAAGCTTCATCATTGTATTGACTAAATTTCACCTGAATTTGAACAGACATTTGATTTCTATACATATATAAAATCTTTTTCTGTATGTAGTTAGGAATGGGAAGCGCTCTGGAGACGCTATGCGGTCAAGCTGTTGGTGCTGGACAGCATAATATGCTTGGAATCTACCTGCAAAGGTCATGGATCATTACTGGAGTCACAGCTTTGTGTTTAACACCTTTTTATCTTCTTGCATCACCAATACTAAAGCTACTTCGTCAAGACAAGGATATATCAGAGCTTGCAGGAAAGTACTGTAGAATGGTCATTCCTCAATTTTTTGCTTATGCCATGAATTTCCCTATCCAAAAGTTTCTCCAATCTCAGAGCAAAGTGTGGGTTATGACCATAATATCAGTTGTGGGCTTGGCATGTCATATCTTGCTGAATTGGGCTCTTGTGACGAAGCTTCAACTTGGCCTAGTTGGTGCAGCCATGGCTGGGAATATCTCATGGTGGCTTCAGGTAATTGCCATGACAATTTATGTAGTTTCAGGGTTTTTCCCGGATTCATGGACTGGTCTTTCCTTGTTGGCTTTCAAATCATTGGGCGGTTTCGTGAAACTCTCGCTTGCATCTGCTGTAATGTTATGGTAAGTACTCAGATTTAGATATTTATCATGATAAGCCATCCCACATTTCAACCAATGCTAACAAAATAGACATTTTAATGGTAACAGCTTGGAGCTGTGGTACTATACGGCAATTATTCTTATGGTGGGATATCTAAAAAATCCTACAATTGCAGTAGATGCCATTTCAATCTGGTTTGTTTCTTTTTCTTAGTCTATCATTCTTTAAGTTTAATTGGAATTCTCAGTGGTGCCATTGGAGGTAATGAACCTACCTTTCATATCTTTTTCTCTATTCATTGTGTTTTCAAATTGGCAGCATGAACTTGCAACTTTGGACTTCAATGGTTACTCTGGGTTTCAATGCAGCAGTAAGGTCCGTTGCTTATTTTCTGGTTTAACATGATTACCTCTCCAAGATTATGTTCTGCTGTAAGTTTTCTACTATTTTTGTTTTAAGTATATGCTTATTTTCTTACAGTGTTCGGGTGTCCAACGAACTTGGAGCCGGACGTCCCAAAGCAGCGAAATTCTCAATAGTGGTGGCTGTTTTAACATCCTTGGTGGTTGGAATTACTTTCACGGGTGTTATTCTGGCAACCAAGCATGAATTCCCAAAGCTGTTCACTGACAAACCAGAGGTTATAAAGGCGACATCAAAGCTGGGGTATTTTCTGGCAGCTACGATCTTCCTCAACAGCATTCTTCCTGTTCTCCACGGTAAATTTAAAGTTGATCTTACCATCAATATTTGAAGGCTTAAGCTAATCATAAGAATCAGGCAATCACCGCCAAATGGAATTTGCAAAAGAAAAGAATCACTTCAAATGCGTAAATTTCAAAATATTTTTCTGTTGGTTGTGCAGGGGTGGCAGTGGGAGTAGGCTGGCAAGCATATGTTGGCTTGATCAACATAGCTTGTTACTATATATTTGGAATTCCTGCAGGAGCATTGTTAGGTTTCAAATTTAAGCTCAGGGTTCAAGGGATTTGGTCAGGAATGTTGGTGGGAACTGTCCTTCAAACCACCATTCTGCTGTTTCTAATGCTTCGAGCGAGCTTGCGAAAAGAGGTACGTTGAACCTTCAGCTGCCAAGAACCTGGAAAATCTTCATATTCATGAAATGATGCTGAACTAACAATAATACATTGAGAAATGGTGCAGGCTGTGCAAGCTGAGGAGCGTCTAAGAACATGGGGTGGACCAATTGAGACTCCAGATTCTTCGTTAGAAGCCACCGCTGGTTGAGTAATTAACAAATACTAATCGACTTTCCTTAGCAATCAAATCTGAAGATTGGCGTGAAATTGATATACACTGCTTAATAAAAACCAAAGTGTGTTCTCAAGAATTTTCCTTCTTTTTAAGTTTTATTGCTCACGGAATTAATATATAGTATCCTCCCTTCAAAGAACACTCTTTTGATTGCTAATTGCTATCATTACTTCAATTTTTTTTTCTCTTCAAAGTTTCAAGTTCCATGGGTTTTTTTTTTTTTTTTTGGTTCTTGTACCCAATTTTGATGTATTTGTTGAGTGTGAACATGTAATGTAGAACTGCCAACGGAGAAAAGAGGGGAGGAACATTTTCCTTTTACGGGGTTATGCTGGGGGCTGAATCAATGATGCATTAATACCGCTTAAAAATGTGAGATTAAAGGCCAATCATGGTTGGTAAACATGGCTTTCACATTAATATGGGTTAACTCAAAAATCAAAAACCCAACTTTTCCAGTTGTCAAAGCTGATTTAATAACAATTGAAAGTTGAAATTATATGCAGTAGGCTACCATCCTTCCCTTTTGTTTGCTGCTGATTTAATAACATTGCTCTTCACGCTGGAGTTCAGGATCTGTATACGGTGAAAGGAATACTGAAAACTTACAGATACTTATATATATCAACCATTTCATGATACATAGTAACATACAGCATTACAATTAACAGTACATGCAATTATACTGTCAGATTGAAGTTCCTTGTTTCAATTATACATTGACCAGATTGTACTACCAAACGAGAATCAACGGCTGATGCACCTGTGTGAACCGATATTTATGCTACCTGCAAGGCTTCTTCACGTTTTATGTCAAAAACCTTGATGAGGGCCTCCTCGACAACCTGTTTAATCCAATTAGACAAAAAAAATATATTACATAATATAAGCCTGATAGTGTTATACAAAGAAAACACAATATCAGTTCATAAAACAAATATAGTGTGATCAATCCTGCATTAGCTACAATCCAATAAAGTTGCAGGCTGCAAAGTTAAAACTGCAAATGATCTTGCGATTAAAACACTTCGGCTTTACTTGGAATGGTGGATAGTAAAGTAAAAAGATGGAAAACATATATTTTTTTCTTTCATTGGTGTGCAAGGCAGGAAAGATGAAAAAGTAGAGAAAAATAATTTTCTTTCCATCCATTACTTGATAAAGTTGAAAAATGAAAGAAAATTTTTTGGTATTTGAAGTTACCATGATTTGAATGTTGGTCACTTGAACTAAAATTCTAACACTCTACCAACAAACCACATGATTGTTGGCGATAGATGGAATTAACCTTTTGTAGATTGCATTATGATAAAACAAAAAGAAAAGGTAAAATCTAAATAATGATGGAGAATTTTGTAAACTTGCAACAATTGGCACTTATCCCATTTTCTCTCCTCCTATCTTTCAAATTTGAGATGATTTATTTTTGTGAATAAGGATAAAAAATGATCATCTTTCCTATCTTCCTTGTCCTTACTTTTCTCTCCTACCAATCACTAATGAAAATAATTTTCTTTTCACTTTTAACACACCCCTTTCCATCTTCTCATTCTTCTATCCTACTAAGGAAAGCCTTAGAATGGAGCACATAAAAGACAAAAAAAAAAATCAAAACACACAAATTATAAGTGAACCAAACTGTAGAATTACCTTATCTGGTGTGGAGGCACCAGATGTAACACCAATTGTGATTGGACCCTCTGGTAGCCAGTCTTCTGTCTCAACCAGCTCCCCATGCTGGCAAAACACAGCATTCGCATAATTAGAATAAAAAATGGCAATGAGAATACCCTTTTTCTAGACTGACAAAATTAGAAGTTGATCAAGAACTGGATTGCTTTGCATTCACACTTACTTTCAATTTGTGAGCTATTCTGTTTCCTGGACCTATTCTCTGTTCACTGTCAACCCAATATGAAGGGATTCCACGGTCCTCTGAAATTTCTTGAAGGTGTGAGGTATTGCTTGAGTTCCACCCACCGACTACTAACATAAGATCCAGGTCTTCCTCCACCAACTTATACATTGCATCTTGTCGCTCCTGAAAAAGACGATAACCAGCTTCAATTCAATGACCAACACAAAAATTGGTGTGCAATTAGTTGAGCGAAGAATACAAAAAGAAGCAGCATATACAGTAAAGTCTTCCATAAGAAAATATATTCACAAATTTCTAATGAAAACCGAACTGTCAAAAACATTCAACTTACTTGTGTTGCATCACAAATTGTGTTAAAGCTTATGAAGTGATCATTAACATTTTCCACTCCATATTTTTGCATCATTGTCCTCTCCACTAATTTTCCTGTTAAACCACAATGTAATGTGTGTCTCAAGCAGCAATTACTTGCAAACAAGAAGTGGTTTACAATAAGTGCATAAGTGCCACTAACCAATTTCCTCTGTCTCTCCCTTCAGCATTGTAGTTTGATTTGCAATGCCAACTTTTACTAGGTCACAATCTGGATCAAATCCCTTTGAAGTAGCATATTTAAATTTCTGCAAAAGACCCAATAATCATCTTAACATTTTCACAATACATTGTACATATGAAGAAAATAAGAAACAAAGACTATACCTCCAGAAATGCCTCTTTGGTGGAGCTAGATCCATTAAGTTCACCTCCAAGAATATAATCACAAACATACATTGCCTTCACAAATCAGACAACATGGAGACAAACAATTTTTATTTAATAAAATACAAAGAACAAGTCAAAAAATTGTAAAATCACAAGAAAATAGAATACTCGCCACTTTATGACATACCTCAGTCATATTCTTCACAATCATATATGTTCCAGCAAAAGATGCAGTTGCGATTGTCTCCTCGTGAGCATATTTACCATGAATGATTGAAGTGTAGTCTCCTCTCTTGTGCTTCTCTACAGTGTTCCATACCTTCATAGAAATAATATTTTAGTACCAAAAGAAATAAAAACTCATCGGAATGTCAAAAGCTGAGAACCAAAAAAATAAATAAATAAATAAATAAAGAATTGCAAGGAATTATTTGCTATGACAGCAAACCAGTGTTGCAAGAAGATACCTTAGATACCCAAGGACAGGTTGTATCAACAATTTGCACATTTTTGTCATTCAAAACCAACATCTCATCAACTGCAGCTCCAAAAGCAGGCAATACCACAACATCACCCTCATTCACTACATCAAACTGTTTTTTCCCTTCTTCAATAGGAATATTTTTAACCTCCATCTCCTCTAACCGCTGCATTAAAAATAAAAACTATCTTTATCTTTAAGTAAGGAAACAAACAAACCCAGTAATTCTTTAATCTCCAAGAATTTGTTTTATCATTATATTATATAAACTGAGAAGAGAATAGAGCAAGTGTGGACCCTATTAACAGTTGGATTGTGGATAATTTCATTGGTAATCCAAATTTTCTCATCAGGAAACTGTTTTCTGGCTTCATAAGCAATTTGGACAGCTCTCTCAACTCCCCAGCAAAAACCGTATGCTTCTGCCAATTTTACCCTAACATTTCCCCATGTATACTCGTTTCCATTTTCCTTCAATTTCTTTATGATATCACCTGAAATTTTTTCCAAAAAGATAACTTTTTACCAAAATTCAAATGAACTCCCTTTTTACTTCCGACTAAAAATAGGAAAAAAAAGGAAACAAAAAAGCGGAATCATTTTGTTTGGAGCAAAACTTACTGGTGTACTCCCGATTCATTAGCGCGAGAGTTTCCTCTTTGTGTCCGAAACCTTTCCGATTATAATTCTTGCTCCTCGTCAAGTTATGCCGAAAAGCCTTGGCATCAAAGTTATCGGGATCCACAGCTATGGAAGAGGAAGAAGTGGAATCGCCGGAGCATCTGACGAAGATAGGCTTTCGGAAAGGGAGAGCTCCGGCTTTTCCGCCGAAATTATCGGAACCGGTGCGGATGCAGAAACGACATAGTTGCAGAGAAGTCGCCATTAGAGAGAAGAAAAGGAAAATCGGCGCACGCTAGCAAAGAGACCGGGCAGAAATCTGTGAGGTGGTGATGGTGGTGCGCATTTTATCTTTGGACAAGTGTGGTGCACCTCCATTTCTTTTCGTGGTTTTTATTTATTTATTACTTTCTTGATTTTTTTGTTAGTTATTTTTGTCGCTTTGTTTTACTGGAATCATTCGTTTTGGTTCTCTGCCCTGTCCACTTTGATGCCTAAATGCCTGATCACGGTCGATTGTCGTTAGTCGTTGTCGGAATCACTGTTAAATCCTTGTTTGGTAGCACAAATACCTTTCCAAAATTTTCCTCTCTCAGACGTAAGAACGGATATAATCGATCGAAATAAATGGAAAAGTTAATTCGATTCGATTTATTTTATTTCGGTACTAATTAGTTAGTAAAAACAATTTATTTAATTATTTAATCAGTTATCAATATTCAAAAATTGATAATCGAGATTAAATTAATTAATTTTATTAATTTATTTTTAAATATATATTTTTTATAATATAATTACAATATAATTAGGTCAAAAATTACAACATAATTTATATAAAATTTTAAAATTATACAATATATTATATCATTTATTTATATAATATAATATAGTATTTATATAATATTATAATTAATATATTTTTTTAACTATTATTTTTTGAAAAGTTAAAATTGATCAAACCGATTATATCGTCCAACCTAAGCTTCATTTATCATCAAGATAGAAATGAGCTTATAGCTAAAAAAACTCGTTTCCATTTAATCGCAATGCTAAATAAATGGAAATTTTGAGTTTTGCATACAAAAGATTTCGATTTTGGAAACTAAACGTAAAAGCTTCAAAAGTGCTTTTGCGGTTAAAAATGTTTAGAAAATAAAATTACTTTTATCTTTATAATTTTAAATTTTTATAATTTTATACTTTTTTTTTTTTACATTTCAATTCACCAACAATATGATTTATGGTAATACAAAATAATTAAAATTCTTAAACTACTTTTTTTTTAACTACATTTTAAACATGCTTTTTTTAAATTTAATTTTTTCAAACCGCAACAAAAATATTAAAGTAGGCTTAGCATCGCTGTTTTACGTTGGGAAAAGTTCAATTTGAAAAAATATATTTGAAAAATGTTATAAAAAATTATTGTGAAAAATTATAGTTTAAGAGTTGAGTGTGTTACTATTGCTGTGAAAAGTTAATTATATTGCACAAAGAAAAAAATATTTTTATAAAAAATAAAAAATTGAATAAATTTTAATAATTTTATTTTTAAACTAAAAATTTCAAATCATAACTGTATTTCTCAATTAATTTTTATGATTTGTTTATTTTTAATTGTAAAAAAAAATTAAACACAAATTATATGTGTTTATTACTGTTTTTGCATTCAAAAACTACTTAGTAAAACCTAAACACAATATTAAACAAAATTTAAATCAATTTCAATCATTTCGTTTAATTATTTTAATTTAGTTCGACTCGATCAATTATTTCAATTAAAATTTATAAAATTTGATTTTTGAAATTTCTAATTCTAACATATCCAATGCTCTGTCTATTCAAATATTAACTACAATCAAATACTATTCAAACATTAACTACAATCAAACAACTACAAAAATAAACTTACAATCAAACATGACCAACATAAAAAACATAGTAGTAATGCTCAAGGATTAAAATAGAAAATTGGAAAGTCTTAAAAATATTTAAAAAGACTTTCTAAACTTTTTAGAAGTTATGATCATAATTAATTATTATATTCATATATAATATATCATTGAATAATTGATTAACAAATTAAAAATATATAATTAATCAATTAAATCCATTCATAAACTTGAGTATAGAATCCCAAAATTTTATGACTTTTTCCTTGCCATTAAATCAAGATCTTTTAACTAAATTTTAAATTAAAAAAATCAAAGAAACAGGTAAGTTTGGTAATCGAATAATGAGATAATATTCAAATAAACTTTTAAAATTTGTTCAAAAATAAAAATAAAATTTCAATCTTTTATTACATAAAATTAAGGTTATAATTTTTATTTTATTGTAATTTTATAGTTTGATGATTTAATGTATAAAACGTCTTTAAAGTTGGTTTAGTTTTGCTATTGCGGATAAAAAAATTTTGAGTTGAAAAAAATAAGATAATTAGCAATGTCAATCTATTTATTCGATATATTTAAATTCTCTAATTATTTTAAATTTATTATCGATTGATTATATATATGTGATATTATTAATTGATTAAGTTTCTATAATCTTGCTTTTTTCCTATCTAACAACAACTCTAGTAGGTACATGTAAATCACTAAAAAATTAGCATTAACTTAAAATAGTATATATGTTAAACAAACTTTTAGAAGTTAAAAATTTTATAGAATTTAAGTATGTAATATTTTTCATTGAAATTAAGTAGATAAATATTAGGATTAAAAATAGATTAAAATTTAAAAAAAAAGATTGACTTCTTTCTTTTTATTTTTCTCAAATTTGTCACATTCAATTTGATTTTACAAAATGACCGAAAATTTAAAAATCGTGTGATTTTAGAAGTCGTTCTAGTCCTACAATAAAGAGTCAAACTGGGTCATTATCACCTCTATTTTAATCAGGCTAGCAGATGAATAAATATGAACCATGAAATAAATCCATTTTCCATGTTACAATTGATCAACAAGTCACATCTGGCTCAGCCCTTCTCCACCCAATTTTGTGTGAACATGTTTTAGCCTCTGTACAATTGTAAAATTTGTTACTATTTTGCATTTAGACAAATTAAAAAAAAATAATTTATCAAATAGATTATTACTAACCAAGCCATTAAACATGTAATTATAACTAGTTGATAGATAATTTTATGAGATTTAAGAATTGAATTCCATGATCATTTTCTTAAACTTTTTTTATATGTATAAAATAAATATTTTTATTTTTTCGTCCAGAATTAAGTATAATAAAAATAATTTCTCAATTAAAATGATGGACAAAATTATCGAGGGAGAGTTCCATATCTGAGGACATGATTAACAACTTTGGCAGGACCCCATTTTTCAACTGCCCATTTGGCATCTCTGAACCCTTCACCATAAGCATGAGAGGAATCAATTTCCACCAAATCCTGGAATGTTTGCTTCAAGTTCCTAGTGAATTGAGCATTCTCGCTTCTGCTAGAGGAGGCCTCCTCGTCCATAAGCTCGAACCATTCCAACCATTCGTGAGCTATCACTTGGCATATGCCTTCCTCCACTTTTGGCTCCAAGTTACGAACCCCTTAATAAAACAAAATAAAGTAAAAATAATTAAATATCATATAATGGAAATATCATGCTTAATTGATAATAAAATTAATTTTCAAGTTTTTTTTTTTAATTTATGTTCATGTAAATTTTACCTTTTTGCTTTAACCAAGCGTGCATCAATTCATGAGCCATGATTGCTCCTGTCATGATCCTATTAATCATGCACATATTCAAAGTATTAAATATGCAAGTCTTTTGTATTTAAAATTATCAAAATTTAAATTTTAATAATTAAAATTAAAAGTTTAATATTTTGTTACGTATGCAAAAACAAACGTTAACGATGCAATTTATTAAAATGTCATTATTGAAACTTTATGGGAGTGAAAAAACACTAACAAACCAAGATAATGGGTGAGTTTGGGCTATGACCAATTACAAATTAATCTAAATATAACGTCAATCAGGCAAATTAAATTAGAAGAGTACCTTGGCAAACCAAATAAAATAAGGATTGTTATGCCACTGCTGTGATTTAATGGATACTTCTTGTATCCCACCACTATATCTCTCCGTTTTCGTGAAAGACTTTCAACCTATCATTCTCATAGTCATAGGAACAAAATGAAAACAGGAATTAGGGTTATTTTGGAATCTTGTAAAATATAATATAATAGGGGATAATATTAATCCAAAAGGAAAATTTTAGCTTTCTCTAGATTAAAAAAAAATTGCAAGTAGATTGAGAAGTAGTAATAAAATTACCAAAAGGATTCTAAGTGTTTTTAGTACAATTCCTTACATTTTCTGCATAATTTTCAGTTGAATTGAACATTGTAAGCCCCCACACCGTGGTATCTGGATGAATAGGCTGTATGTTCGACCTCAACAAATTGATAAATTGATAAAAATAACGCCTCGAAAAGAAATTTGTTGAACAATTGAGGAAATGCAATAAAAAAAAAAAAAAAACCTCAATTGAGGAAGTGCCTCATGGATATGAAAAAGTGATAGAAATTAGTGAAAATTATAGAAATGTAAAAGAGTCCCCATGCAAGTTTTTCGTCATATATATATATTATATGTTTTTTTGAAAGATGGTCATATTAAAAATTATAAATTTGTGATTAGCAGTATATAAGCATAATAATTATAATGGAATATGTAAATATGAATTTTTTAAAAGTATATTTGGAGATTTAAATGGTTAATCGGGTTAAATTAGGTTTGAATTTTATCGTACTTCTAATTGAATTTAAATGTCAATTCCAATAAAATCCATTTAATATAAAATTTTTATTAAAATTTTTTTTAATCACAATTATAATAAATTTTAATCATAAATATAATAAATTTTATTAATTTTTTTAATCTTATTCAAATAAAATCTAGAACAAATTTGTTGTAACTACTTAAAGAAAAAAAGTTGGGTAACTTACTCCAGAGTTAACTCCTCGTCTTGTATGTCTCCTCATCTCTCTTCTATCAACCAAGAATACAGGAATATATCCCTGGATTTCCACATCTTTTAGTCTAAAAAATTCAGTCACATTATCTAAAATAGATTGTTTTTGCGTTGCATTTGTGATTGATGTAGCAAAACAATCCGAGCAAATTTTTCTCATATCACCCAGCCCTGTATACTCTGCGTTCGTTCCCTATAGTGAAATTTTCGTTTTCATTTATATCGTTACAATTGCTAAAAAAATTCAATTACATAAATTAAAAAAAAAAAAAACCTTAAGCCTCATACAACCACAGCAGACGTGAGTTCCATCAGACATATGACGATGACAAAAATATTGGTTCCAAAATTCACGCTTTCGAATTTCATTAGGTGGAATCTGTAAGAAAATAAAATAAAAAAATTCATATAAATTTAAATGAATATTAAAAATTCAAATTTTTCAAAAAAAAAAAAAAGTTCTCCCTGGAATTACTTACTGATCCATCACACACATCACAAATAAATTGATACGTCTGGTGTCTGTTAGAATTTCTTCTGGAGCTGCCACATTAATTAATTGTTAAGTATTATACATTGAAGCTAACGTACTGTCAGTTCAACTCTATTTATAGTTTATTTGATTGGTCGATAAAAAAAATAAAAATTTAATTTCAAAACAATGTAATAACGCGATGAAAAGTTTTTTTAATCGATCATCTAAAAGAAACCTTAGATTGTTTTTTTGTTTACCTTTGTTGCAGTGAAGATCTCAAACTTTCTTCTATAGCTCTGGCCAGTTCCTCATCTTGATCGACGATATCATCTGATAACATGAAACTATAAAATCATTTAATGCTTGCTCTTTCGGATTTTACTCAAATTTTCAGGAAAAGGAATCATAAAGAAATGTTTTGATATATAGGAGGAAATGATCTGACCAGGCACGGTTTTTCCACTTTCGTTAGCATCTATATCTAAAAGGGAGAGCTGGGTAGCCAACTCCAGATCATCAAACTCATCTTGTTCCCACTGATCCTACATGCAAATTCATATTTTCAATCCAAACCAAAGTGCTAAAACCAATAGCAAAATTGGATGTTCAAGAGTTCATGAACGAATTACCATTCCCTTTTCTGAACAAACGTTTGGTTCCAAAAGAAAAGTTCAGAAGAAGTAATCATCCAATAGTATTCTGATGGATCAGCAACATGTAAACAATCATAGATCAAATAAAAGAGAGCTAATAAGGAGATTCTTGAAAAACTTGTACTATTCAATATTTGTAAAAGAAGTACAAATGTATGCAACGGATATTGGGAAACCTTGGCAATATATATATAATAATAATAATTAAATGGTATTAATAACTGCCTAAAACATGCCTAGTACTCTTAGATAGCATGCACAAATATTGAAAAAAAAAAGCATTCATTTTCATAATGATTTTTAATGTGTACCTGAAGGAAATGATGGTATAATTTATAGCAGAAAAAAAGTTAGATCATTTCATGTAATTTGCAATTCATTGCATTGGTTGTATCTTTTGTATGCAGATTTCCAGTCTCCGCAGGATATAAAGTCATATTTTTTCCGAACAAAAAAAAAAAAAAAGGAGAAATTTCTAACCATAAAAAAGAAAAAAAAATCAGTATTATGTGCCAAAAGGGACCCATCATATCAAGATGGAGTGGTGCCTCAACCGCCAATCAAAATAAGTTCTGTCCAGATAAACTGCTTAGTTTTCTTTTGAGTTTTCAATTAAGAAGCTTTACATTTTTCTTTGTTCTGCTTCAAAAACTTCCCTTTTTTTTTTTTTTTGCCTACAATGGAGAGTTATTCCCTACAGTCATCAGCCATTTCAACAGTACCCTCCTCTCTGCCAAGAAGTGGGTTCATTGAGAAACCTCTTGGTTATGGTCGAGTTTTCAAGCTTCCCAGTTGTAAAAGATCATACCCACATGTCAGAAAGCTCAAATGCTTTGATTTGAGAGCTCAAGCTTCAGGTAAATATATTTAACACATTCTCCTGCTTTTGGTCTTACTTTTTATGTTTTTGGCTATTCTCTAAGTTTTCTGTCAAATGGGTTATCCTTTGATTTTTGTACTTCACATGTATGTTTTGACATTTCAATAACTTTTTGCTAATAATACTTTGATAATTGTGCATCAAGTCTGTCAAATTTTAGGTAAGATATTGATCAATTTTACTTTATATTGCAAAATCTTTGCAAATAGGGATGAACATGTAGCTATTTGATCACATATTAAAGGAATTTAAAGGTTCCCAAATCAGCAATGAGAGAAACCTTTGTATCATTATCATTATTATTATTTTTATTAAATTCTTAAGGAAATACTCTCGGGACAATGCAGACTAGAAAACTACATCTACAATGGCATTATGTAAAAAATTGTGTTTATACTGTTTTTTTTCTGCTCTTTTTTATCCAGAAATGCCAGATTAGAGTCAAATTTGATATTTCACTGTCAAATTACTCTCTAGATTAGACTGGAAGAGTATTTAAGACTAGCATTTTGAAATTCAATGGGGCCTTAATTTTCATGAATTCTTTGATTATTTCAAGATTTCAATGAGATGCATTTCAAACTTCTAAGAATCAAAGTCCTCTAAAAATTTTTTTTTGTAGCCAAATGAAAAAGGCTTTCTTTTGAATTGCTCCAATAAAACCATTTATGTCAAACTTAAGCTGTCCTGGGATATACACTTGTTGCTTATGATTGTTTAGTAGTTATGATCAGATACAGTTGCAGAAATATGCCTTTGCATTTGACATAAAAGAAAGGTGGTGGGGAATCCAACTACAAGTGTTAAAAAAGCTAAGAGATGAAGGAAATATGTGGTTCATTTTGCATTATTGCTTTCAGTAGTTTCTTTATCCCATCCTCAGTGGAAAGACTGTCTGTCTCCCTTTCACATGTATTTATTACCATATGGTCATTAGCCTACATTTTTATTACTAGGCACAATAAAAATCAGTTCAGAGGTGGCTGGAAAAATTTCAAACAAAGCAGATTCCAAAGATGAGGATCTTGCTTTTGTTGCTGGTGCAACGGGCAGGGTAGGCTCTCGAACAGTAAGGTTATAATCCACTGGAAGTTTCACTTGAAAGTTAAACAACTGGATGTCCAGTTTTTAAAATGTGCTAAAAGCTTGTGACTCTTCAGGGAGCTTTTGAAACTTGGTTTTCGAGTTAGAGCTGGAGTTAGGAGTGCTCAGAAAGCAGAATCTCTTGTGCAGGTTTGTGTTTTCCTTGTTAAAGTATTACTCTTTTATTGTCACTATTTCCAAGTTATGCTTATGTTAAAGAGAAATTTCAATCCAGAGTGTCAAGCAGATGAAGCTCGACCCTGAAGGAACTACACGTAAGGACAAGAGAGCCTAGGGATATTGGTTTCTTCTTACACCTTATTATTCTCAGCATTTGATAAAACTAAGTTTTGTTTTTGACATATTAAAAGGATAGTATTATACCTATTCTCCATTTCCCCTCAACTTTCGATTCATTCCATCATTGTCATCCACTTCATGTGAATCTCACTTGATGGAAAGTTGTGGTGTGATGAGTGGAAGTCATGCATGAAAATATAAAGTATATCAGCACTCTATAAATATTGCAATTCAATTATAATGCTCTCAAAGCAAGTAACAGGCAATCTTTGGTCTTTAGACCAGCTGTAGAAAAGCTTGAAATTGTGGAATGTGATTTGGAGAAACAAGATACAATTGCACCAGCCATAGGCAATGCATCAGTGGTCATATGCTGCATTGGTGCCAGTGAGAAGGAAGTTTTTGACATTACAGGGCCTTATCGGATTGACTACCAAGCTACAAAGAATCTAATTGATGCAGGTAAACAAGATGTTGAACATTAGCATGTTTGTTAGTTTGCATCTGGCATGTGACTACCATCTTGAAAGCTTTTAGCAATTATATGTTTTTTTCTTTTCTTTTTCCAAAAGAGAGAGAGAGAGAGAGAGAGAGAACTTCCTGTATTAATTCAAGGGCATCTGTTGATTTATTTATCTTATATTTTGTACTTTTCCAAGAATACTTAAAACTTGGTATATTAAGAAAAGTGAAACTTCAAGATTAAATGAGAGAAATGAAGTCTTTGGTTCTAGACTTCTCATTTGATGAGTCAATTTCCTCAGTATTTATACAATAACAGTGTCCTATCGAAGCTCTGCATGCTGAAACCTGAATTCTTTTTCTGATGGGGCAGCAATTGAGGCAAAAGTTAACCACTTTATTATGGTTTCATCTTTGGGAACAAATAAAGTTGGATTTCCTGCTGCTATTCTCAAGTTAGTTCCTTTTATTAACAAAAAAAATCTTACATAACATTTTGACTGTATATATGCTCTATTTTCCAATAGATTGGAGTAAAGATTTAGTATTTTTCTTTTTCCTATTTAAGTTTATTTTGGGGGGTCCTGATCTGGAAGAGGAAGGCAGAAGAAGCACTCACTGCCAGTGGTCTTCCTTACACTGTAAGTGCATCTAGAAGTACCTGCAAATTTATTTGATCACCAGCACTATAGAGAAATCATATCTGGATTTGATTACTCATCTTGAAGTGCCTGTTCAGATAGTCAGACCGGGGGGAATGGAGCGTCCCACTGATGCTTTCAAGGAAACTCATAATATCACCCTCTCTGCTGAAGATACTTTATTTGGTGGTCTGGTGTCTAATCTTCAGGTCTATATACATATTTTTTAATGTTATTTTTCATATTGCAATTTTTACGCCGTCCTTGCAAAATATGAATAACAATATTGGTTTTTATGAATTGTTTGAAGGTGGCTGAACTCATGGCATGCATGGCCAAAAACCGTAGCCTTTCATTCTGTAAGGTGGTGGAAGTCGTTGCAGAAACAACTTCTCCATTGAGACCTATGGAGGAACTTCTTGCAAAGATACCATCTCAGCGTGCTGACATTTACTCTGAGGTACTTTTTCTTGCTTAGAGTGCAGAAGAGACTTTGCCATTTTCCATCAACATGTAACACAATTGAGAAACTGGGTGCAAGAGCTTGAGCCGATGAAGTGTAATCTCAAACTACTGGAATATAGAGTACATAAAACATTCTTTGAGATTTAGAGCTTTTACATCATCTAAGACATGACTTTTTGAATAGAATGACTATCCTTTCCTTTTTTTTTTTAACTGCACAGCATCTCTCCTATGAAAAATTGCTTAAATTCTGTGATAAAAAAATGTAAGATATTCCTGAAGAAGAAATGATATTTTCTCGTTTAGTCTATCATCTCTATCAAGAGCACGTCGTGAACAGTTCATATGACGGCTAACCATGACAGCATGGTGGCAAAGGGATCAATAGAAAGGGGTGGGTCCAGGGTTCTGTAAATGTTGTCATGGGTTAGGAAGTGATGTCTGACATGCAATAGTTGTGAGGAGAGAGTCAGTGTACTTATTTAATAACTGTGGATTATTCAACTGCACAAACTACCTTGGTGTCTAATTAACTTTCTCTCCTGGTGTAAACAGGAATCTGATACACCCGTTAAGCCTGATCCAGCACCTGTTAAGAGCATTGTAACTGAGAAACCAACAACTCCTATTGAGAAGGAACCCGCACAAGAAAAGGCTGTGGAAACAAGGCCACTCTCTCCCTATGCTGCGTAAGCCAATTTATATAATAATAGATGAGTTGTTGCCTTCATATTAGGTAGATGTCAAAGATAAGAGATGCTTTGATTTTAATAGCTATGAGGACCTGAAGCCACCTAGCTCTCCTAGTCCAACACCAAGTGGACCCAAAGAAGTAAGTTCCAGTGCCTCAACACCAGTAGAAATTGTCTCAACTTCCACTGAAGGCAACAGTGCTCCAACAGCTGCTAAGAGCATCATAATTGAGAAACCAACTACTCCCACTGAGATGGAACCTGCACAAGAAAAAGCTGTGGAAACAAGGCCACTCTCTCCCTATGCTGCGTAAGCCAATTTATTTAATAATAGCTGAGTTGCTGCCTTCATAATTCATATTAGATAGATGTCCAAGATAAGAGCTGCTTTAATTTTAATAGCTATGAGGACTTGATGCCGCCTAGCTCTCCTAGTCCAACACCAAGCGGCCCCAAAGATTTAAGTTCCAGTGCCTCAACACCAGTAGAAAAATGTCTCAACTTCCACAGGAGGCAACAGTGCTACAGCTGCCGTGGCTACTGACATCTGTGAGAAGGATTCTTCCCAGAAGTCAACTAGTCATTCACCCTGTTATGTGTGTGGAAAAACTAAAAAATAAAATTGTATAGAAACTAAGAGTAAAACTGAATCTATATTGAAAAACTACTCAAAGAATTATACAAGCACCTTAGGGTTATAATCAACTAACTAGTGGAAAAACTAGGAGACTAAATCTTTCTAAAACTGATCCTATAATTGAGGGATTGTCTATCCTAATTTTTTGTCCTCAATTTTAGGGATACAAATACTTAATTCTAAAGATACTAATATAAATATACATATTACAATATTACAACTAACTGTAAATAAGTGTTTTCCCACACTCCCGCCCAAGCTAGTGAATAGGTGTTTTCCATTCCTAGCTTGGAAATAATTTCTTGAGATGTTGCATTGCTAAGACCTTTAATCAACACATCTGCAAGTTGACCCTTGGTTGATACATACGGTGTACAAATCAACCCACTGTCTAGTTTCTCTTTTATTAAATGCCGGTATACTTCAATGTATTTTATTTTGTCATGTTGCACAGGATTGTGTGCAATGCTTATTGTAGACTTGTTATCACAGTAGAGCATCATTGGTCCATCTCACTTAATCTTCAAGTCTTCTAGAATAATCTTTAACCATAGTAGCTCACAAATTCCTTGAGCCATTGCTCTAAACTCTGTTTCAGCACTTGATCTTACCACCACATTCTGTTTATTACTCCTCCAAGTTACAAGATTACCACTTAGGAAAGTGCGGTATCCTAAGGTGGATCTTCTATTAGTTATTGAACTTGCATAATCTGCATCTATATATGCCTCTAGAACTAGCCCCAAATTTCTTTTGAATAAGATATCTCTCCTAGGATTGGCCTTCATATAGTGTAATACACAGTAGATAGCCTGTAGGTGCACTTTTTTAGGACTATGCATAAATTGACTGACCACACTCATAGCATATGCTATGTCAGGTCTAGTATGTGAGAGATAAATGAGTCTTCCAACCAATCTACGGTACATCTCTCTATCTACTGCAGCATCTTCATTAGCTTTTCCAAGTTTATGATTAGGATCTATAGGGTTATTTGCAGGTTTACATGCGAGCTTCTTAATTTCCTTCAAAAAATCCGTCACATATTTTTGTTATTGGATGAAAATACCATATGGTGAGTGAGCTACTTCAATTCCTAGGAAGTATTTCAATCTCCCTAGCTCTTTTATCTCAAATTCTCTAGCCAAATACTGTTGAAGAGATTCTTTCTCTTTTTCATCATCTCCGGTTACAATTATATCATTAACATACACTAATAGAAGTGTGAATTTACCTAAATTAGAGTCCTTGATAAATAATGTGTGATCTCCTTGACTCTTCTTATATCCCATTGCTAGCATCACTTTGAAAAATCTCCCAAACCAAGCCTTAGGAGACTGTTTCAGGCCATATAAAGCCTTTTTCAACTTGCACACTTTGTTTGCTTCTAGATGACCTTCAAATCCCGGTGGAACCTTCATATATATTTCTTTATTCAAATCACTATGTAGAAAAGCATTCTTTACATCAAATTGTTAAAGCTGCCAATTATAATTTGCAGTCAATGATAACAAAATGCTAATTGTATTCATCTTGACAACTGGAGCAAAAGTTTCCTGATAATCCACTCCATAAGTTTAAGTGTAGCCCTTAGCCACCAACCTGGCTTTATACCTTTCAACAGTACCGTCTGCCTTGTATTTTACAGTGAAAACCCATTTACATTCAATATAATTTTTTTCCTTTAGGCAACCCTACTAGTTCCCATGTCGTATTTTTCTCCAAGGCCTCTATGTTTATTTTCATAGCTTGCCTCCATTTCTCACTAGATAATGCCTCGGATAATGTAGTCGGAATATAAATAGTGTTTAGGCTCACAAGGAAATTTTTATAAGATGGTGAGAATTTTTCAAATGACACAAAATTTGAGACTTTGTATAGTGGATGCTCAGTTCATTCTCTAGTTCCTTTCCTAATGGCAATAGGCAGATCATAATCACTAATCATAGTTTTAGGAGATTCATGCTCATTTTGAGAAACAGAGTCAAAGAATGTAGTTACCTCATTTCCAGAGTTAGGATCAGGTTCTTGGACTTGCACTGGTTTAGGAATCTAGAACTTTCCTTCTTGAGTATACATGTAATTCTTTCATAGAATCAAGAATAATATTATCTTTTGTCACATCTTCTGTGTTTGGAATGGTTCAAACTCAAATTCTGTGTTTGACTTGGACTTAAAAGAAACAGGTTTAGACTTAGAAGAATTAATGGGTGAAAATGTTGAAGAAGAGGACAAATCAAACAAAAGAAATCTTTATCCTTATTTTTCATGAATGAAGTCTCCCCCTCAAGATAAGGTTGAATAAAAAATGGTTTACTTTCTTCAAAAGTGACATTTGCAGACACATAGAATTTTTTTGTAGGATGATAATAGCACTTATACCCTTTCTGAGTTGATGAATACCCCACAAAAATGCACTTAATTGCTCTAGGATCCAACTTTCCCCTATTATGACTGTGAACATGAGCAAATGATGTACAACTAAATATCTTAGGTGTGAGGTTGTTTGTGGTATTAAAGTTGGGATAGAATTGTGAGAATAGTTCCATAGGAGTTTTAAATCCCAAAACCCTTGAAGGTAACCTATTTATAATATGTGTGGTAATGAGTACAGCTTCATCCCAATAGGATTTTGGTACGTTTGCTTGAAAAAATAAAGTTCGGATTGTGGCTAGTAAATGACTATTTTTCCTCTCTACCACTCCATTTAGCTGTGGAGTATTAACACAAAATAACTCACTGATAATCCCTTCCTTTTGAAAATAGGTAGATAAACTCTAGTTGAAATAGTCTCTTGCATTATCAAACCTAAATCTCTTGATTTTCACTCCAAATTGATTTTGGATCATGTTTTGGAAGCTTAAAAACACATTATTTACATCTGATTTGGATTTAAGTAAAAAAATCAAGAGACCTTGGTACAATCATCTAGGAAAGAAACAAACCACCTTCACGAAAAATATTAGGAATTGTAGATGGACCACATATGTCGCTATGAATCAAGTCAAAAGGAGTAGAACTTCTTTTATTACTAACTGAAAAAGACACATGTCTATACTTTGCAAGTTCACAAACAGCACAATGAAAATTTTCAGCATTTAATCCTTTTAACAACAAAGGAAACATGTTTTTCAAAGTTCTAAAAGAAAGATGTCCAAAACGTAAATGATAAAGTTAGATTTTGTCTTTATTGAAAGATTTTTCAGAAAGAAATAACAAAGGTAAACTATTCTTGATATTACTTGTGTTTTTTGATGTTTTAAGATAGTATAGTCCATCTTTCTCCTTAACAAGTCCAATTTTTTTTTTCGAACTCTGGTCCTAAAATTCACAATAGAAGGGATAAAAAGTCACTTTGCAATTCATGTCTCTAGTAAGTTTTTGTATAAATATCAAATTAATAGACAATCCAGGAACATGAAGAACATTTTTGAAAACAAATGAGAGATTAATTTGAACATCTCCTAATCCTGCCATTGTAGTGAGTGAACCAAGAGCAACAACAATTTTCTTATTACTAGGACACAAGGAATATGTACTAAACTTCTGTGAGAAATGTGTCATATAGTCTGGGACTTCTGAGTCAATGATCTAAGAACTCGTAATAGACTTAACCAAGATATTTAATCCATGAGAACCAAAAGTTTTACCTGAACTAGAGATCTTACCCAAAGAACATACCCTAGTAGGCTTTTCAAAAGTTTTCAATAAGTTTCTTAATTTCTTAATCTCTTCTCTGTCCAATTTTCTTTGTTCCCGAGACTTTTGTAGTACTCTGGTGGTTTTACCAGTTGTCACTTCCTCAAATCGAATAGTAGTGGCAGATTTTGCAATCTCTAACATAGTTATATTTCTCAGAACTGAAACGGGTCTTGATAGTAAATGTTTAACCAAGCAATGAAAGCCAAAGAAAGAAAAAATAAGATTGAAAGATTTAACAAGATTTGGCTATGAAGGCATGAAATAAAATTCAGCAATGAAGGTTGAAAAAATTTTCTTCCCAAGACGAGCCTAAAACTCTAATACCATGTGAAAAAACCAAAAAATAAAACTGTATAAAAAACTAAGACTAAAACTGAATGTATATTGAAAAACTACTTATAAAGAATTATACAAGCCCCTTAGGTTTATATACAACTAATTAGTAGGTAAACTAAAAAATTAAATCTTTCTAAAATTGATTTTATAATTGAGGGATTGTTATCCTAATTTTTTGTCTTTAATTTTAGAGATACAAATACTTAATTCTAGATATACAAAAATAAATATACAAATTATAATACTACAACCAGCTGTAAATAAGTGTTTTCCCACAATGCGTAAATATGCAAATATTTTTTGGGGTTGTCCTTCTTTGGCTGGTTCTCTTATTCTTCTTCAAAACCAAGATATTACAGTTTCTTCCCCTCATTTATTTTGATTTCCCCCATATTCTTCTATGCTGCACTGCAACTATCACAACTTAACATGTTCATTATGTTGTCGGTTTTTTACCTAGTACCTGAAACTATATGATAAGAACTAAGCACTTTAAAACTCAAGTCTGTTGGTTTTGATTTGCATCAATATTTTTTTCTTTCTATGACTTTTGATTTCACTTATTTGATTTGTTGAACAACCTACCTGTTTAAGTTTTGGTTTGAAATTTTTATAGCCATTTCTTCTCTTATCCTTTTATATTCTTCTCCATTCCTTTATTTGTAGTCCTTCATTTTATCAGATACGGTGATCTTAAGCCCCCTTCATCACCATCTCCTGCAGCACCTATAACAGCAGCTGTGGACAGTGGGTCCCAAGGTTCTACGTTGTCAGTGAACAGCACAGCTCAGTCTTCAATAGCAGATAAACCAATTGATAAACAGCATAATGCCGGACCAACATGCACACCACTTTCTCCTTTTACAATGTGAGTTCCTTGGTTTTCTTCTTTGTTTCTCTTTTATGTAATATGATTTCATCAAGTCATTGACTTCATAATGTCATTAAAGTAATCTTCTATTCTAGAAATTTGCATAATTCCCACTCCAAGATCACTTATGGATATCGAATCTTCCCTCGTATGTTTGGCCTTCTTTGTGCTTTCAGTTTCTTGATGGAATAAAACATATTTTAAAACTTCTAGCATGCATAATCTGAAGCTCTTGGAGCTCCCTGTTGCCAGAAAGAACTCCGTTACCTTCTTCATTCTGCTTATTTGCAGATATATAAGTTTAGGCCTTGTTATGCTATCAGATTCAGAAATATTGTAGTGAACTAAGTTTCTTCTTTTATTTCTTCAATAAAATTGCCAGGTATGAGGACTTGAAGCCTCCAACATCGCCAATACCATCCCCAAGGAAATTTTAAGAGAACCAAAACTGCTACTTAGTCCGACAAGGTATAAGTCCAAAATCGTTGACAGTTTGGCTTTCTTGGAGAAAAATAGTTGCATGAAAGTAATCATCCGCTATATGATTGTCACAGAACCATGAAAGCAAACTGGAATTCACCACTTTAATTATGTGAAGAGGCAAGCAATTTAACCTGCGGCAGTATTTTATGGAAATTTCTTGTTATACGATGCTGAGATTGTGACTATATGCATTTGTTCCATTCCTGCTTCATCAATACTTTTGGAGATTATTTGATACATTTGTACCGTTGATACATTTGTACTGGTGCTTTTAAAGCAGAAAGCGCAATAAATCCAATTTGAATGTATTTATATAAGAATGTCTTGAGTCAGATATTTTCTAACTTCAAACCTTCTCCTTTTTCTACCTCCTTTTTCTGCATGAAGCAAGTTAAAGACCAGAAAACCTCAAAGAAAACACACACAGATGCACCTTCCCATTTAATGCCTTCTTTGTCTTTTTTTAGAAGGATAATGGGAGCAGGTCTTGGGAAGATTTGTGGACACTATTTGAAGCGGTGAAATTGCATTTTTGATCAGGGATTGATGTATTGGATGAATGAATAAAATTTCATTAAGCCGGTAAGAACAAACCATTAGAAGCAATCCCAAGGAAAGGTGTGAAACAACACCTAAGAGGATAAGCAGTCTAAACTGTAACATTCTCATTCATCAAATAAAATAGCATATGATCTCTAAATCCAGGATCATCAGAACAGAACAAACAAGTAGGACCTGTAAAACATGTTGATAATCGATCTGGCTGTTTCAACTCGGGAGGAAATGTCATCGACTTCTGCAACTCAAATTGGCGAAGCTGTTGTTGTCTAGGATATAGCAGCAAGCCAGCAACTGTGGAATAATTACCTTTTCTATTGCAAATGATTAACATAGGTTTAATTATTCAAAATATATATTAATTCCACTCTGTTTATTCCATTTGTATTAATTTGCTAAAAAATCAGTTTATCAATGGGTTTTGAACATTGATAACAGAATAAACTGAATTAATGGATTTTATTAATTTATTTTTAAATAATTTTTTATATAATATAAATACAATATAATTTATATAATATATACTATAAATATAAAGTAACTTTTATGAAATATTATAAATTATATATTTTTAATAATTAAAACCAAACAAATCAATGGAACCTATCAATAGAAGTCAATGATTTTGATTATTTTAATTAGTCAGCATAGTTCCATTTAGTTCCCTTATTTTAAATGCGATTTGATTAATTCCCTAAAACTTTACCTTTTAAAAAACAAAGAAACAAGTCTCAATCCGCCTACATGTGCGTAAAACTTTACAAATTTTATGTAGACTGCTAGTTCCGTGGTAGCTAAGAATTTGGTTAGGGTTTAAGGGTCACGAACCAAAGCTGCAGAAAGCGGAACAACCCGATAACCAGAAAATGGATACGGATCAAAACCCAAGTGCTGAACATAAGAAGACTGATCCTCCTTCATCCGCTTCGGCCTACCTTGATCCTAACTACTGGTAACCATGTTCCTGTTTCATGTTCGTTTTTTTTTTTTTTGGGTCCATTTCTGTCTCTCCCTTTTTTCGCTTGTCATGTGTTCTAGTTTTATTTATCCAAGAAAGAAAGCAATTTTTTTTGTGTGTTTTGATTTCTTATTCTTTGTTTGTGTTTCAGGAACCAGCGCTTCTCTAATGAAGAACATTATGAGTGGTTCAAAGATTACTCTCATTTTCGCCATCTCATTCAAGCACACATCAAACCCAATTCCTCAGTACCTTCTCTATCTGTCTCTTTATTTTTAATTATTTTTTCTTCATATTTTATATGGGTTTTGACTGATATTCTAGTCATTCAGCTAAAAGTCTATACTTCAAGGCATAAGAGCAATTGGGTAGTCGCCTATTTTGGTTACTAGATTAAATTCTTCTTTTTAGCCTAATATTTGAATGAAAAAGGGAAAAAGTAGCAGTAGGCCAATTTAAGATTTTAGGATGTTAGTCCTATTGGAGCAAAACAGCAGCTAGGCTTGTGTTGATTCTTAGTTGGGATTACAAGTTATTAACTGGAAAGCTTTAGATTGGTAATTTGCCTGTTTGGTAATTACAGCTTATCGGATTGCATTTTCATTTTCATTTTGGTTGTGATTGATTCTGGTGGGATCCGATTACTTTAACATGGTAATGATGAGAAAATTGTCTGATGAAGGTGCTGGAACTGGGCTGTGGGAACTCACAATTGTGTGAAGAGCTCTACAAGGATGGGATTACTGAGATAACATGCATTGATTTGTCATCTGTTGCAGTGCAGAGGATGAAGGAAAGGTTATTGTCTAAGGGATACAAAGGTGTGTTTGACAAATATTTTATGAAGTTTCTGTTGCATTTCCGTTTTTGGCCTATTACAATTTGAAGCTTGATTTGAGTCTATGATGAATATGCACGTGAACTGTTGTCTGAGTTTGGGATTCAAGTTTACTGCCTTTGTCCAATGAATTTTTTCACACATGTGGCAGATCATTGAACTAAGTATTGCATGCAACATATATGGAAGGAAATTTTTGTCATTTTATGTTACATGATATCTTATGATCACTCTGCTAATTCAAACTGAGAGTTAGCATCCTACATAAGTAGATAGGTCTTTGTAGTCTTTTCATTTGGAAAGTTGTAGCCCTGACTCTGGAGAAGCATGAGTATAAATAAACAGTCATGGTGAATGCCAGACTTTAATATGAATTCTTCACTTTTTTGGCCATATGAAACCAAAACTAGGTAAGGGTTTGACACCTGTTTCTTAGTATTTGTGTCAACTATCATGGCAAAGTTGTTGATTAAATGTCAGAAAGATATCCTTTTTCACTTATTGTTGTGAAATATTTAATGATTACTTTGCTTATTATCTTGGAAGCCTTAGCAATGGTAGAAACATAATTCTTTTCACCAGAACCAGGTTATTTTTTAGACTAGTTTCATTCATCAGTTTTTGCTTTCTTGTTACCTCTTCATCAGAAATAAAAGTGCTGGAAGCAGACATGCTAGACCTCCCCTTTAGCAACGAGTGTTTTGATGTGGTTATTGAGAAAGGAACCATGGTAAACTGATAATCCAAGATGAATTTTCTTTTACACGTGATGGAATTTTGATTTGCTTTTCATAATCATATAGTTATCATTTCTTCACTGCCAAGTTTTTTTAATTGTTTTTTTAGTGAGTTCCATTATGTCTATTTATTTTTTTTCCATTTTATTTGTTTGAAGGATGTACTGTTTGTGGACAGCGGTGACCCGTGGAATCCACAGCCTGAAACAGTATCCAAGGTCTTGGCAATGCTTGAAGGTGTTCATAAAGTTTTGAAACCTGATGGCATTTTCATATCAATTACTTTTGGCCAGGTGCAACGAACAAATTCATGCAGTTTTGTCCTTTTTAAATATTTGGGATATTGTTCTTACTTGGAAATTTTATTTCATTTAGCCGCACTTCAGGACACCTTTATTTCAGAATCCCAAATTTACATGGTCTGTTGAATGGAGTACTTTTGGAGATGGGTTTCACTATTTTTTCTATATATTGAGGAAGGTCAGTCCAGACTCCATAGCTGTCACATGGAGTTAAAATATTTAATGCTTTTGCTTCTTTAACATGCACATATACTCATGGGATTCGAAGTCTGTTGTAAGCAATGCATTTAATATTATCAGAATTTTGTAATAAATGATACTTTAATGAGTTTCTGTAATTAATTATTCTTGGGAGTTAATTGTGAACCTGGAATGCTTTAGAGAACAAAGAAAGCAACTATCATTTCCTTCATATTTTTATTTTTGCAAACATTCTTAAGCAATTTATAAGTTTTTCATCTGTGATATCGTGGTGTAAAATTAACACTTTTACCATTTTTCAGGGAAGGAGGTCTTTAGATGGTGGGGAGTCCACCGAAAAAATTGAAATGCCGCCATTTTGTCTATATCAAGAAGAATTAGAGGGTGAAGATTATATTTTTCGAACCAATATTGACAAGATAGATTGTTAGTTCGATTGTAACTCTTTTCCTTTTAGTTTCCCTGCCGTAAACTTGCCAATGAAGTTCAAAAAAGGCAACACATATCTGAATACTATTCTATCTGTGCGATGCCAAAATTAACGTGATTAAGATTTAAACCATCAACAAGCATTACAACCTTTCAGTTGTAAGCTTCATCAGTTCAAGCCTTGTCCAAGTTATGTTAGTGTCACTATTGTAATGAAAACTAGTTATCCTTGAATGTTTCAAGTTCTGCATTTTGCGTTGATGACCATTTGTGCTTATGTTTAATGCAGACGTCACCTAGGCTCTAACAGTACTTGTACAGTTGTATTAGTGCTTGGATCAGGGTGTCGAAAAAACTTGGCATAGGTACTGTGCTAGGCTCCTGAGTAAACATCATTTTGACTGAATTTGAATGTTCTATACCATCTCTAGTTTTAGTAAAGTTCTGCAGAATCCATTTGTATTGCAGAGCATGGTACATTGGAAGAAAAAATTCTGCACGTCGATGAAATTATGTAATTCTATTACCCTTTTTTACGTTGTATTTGACTGATCTAAGCTAGCAAAAAAAGGAAAAGAAAAAGGAAAACTAGGAAGGAACTCATTGAACGCCAAGCAGGTTTGGGCAACAAGCGGCTGCACGAGAAAACTCGAAGAATCATAGAGCCAAAATGGAAAAAACCCTCTAGAGGAAATGGTTGAAATTTCGATCTTATAGTTAAAAATTATACGTTTTAACCAATTGAGCTATTTCAACTTTAGTGTATTATTTTTTATATTTTTATATATGATTTCTTAACGAAATATGCATGAAAACTTGTTACATTTCTTTTGTATCTTTGCTGTTTGAACCTTTAACGTCATCTCTACAACCAAAATTTCAAACCATTTTGATGGTTGAAAAGAAGGGGATAATTGAGAAATAATTCATTTAGGTAGAGCAAATGAGGAAAATGAGAAATATATTAATGTAGTAATAATGTATAGAACTCTATTTCATATTTTAGCTATGTAGCATAATATATTTAGATTAAATTATTAGATGTACTCTAATATATATTTTTTTTATATCACACTCTTTTGAATTATGAGATAATAGTAATATTTTATATTATAAAACTTGATCTGGAGTGATTGAAAACTATATAATTTTTTAGAATAGCTTAAAATTGAAATTTTGAACCTTAAAAGAACAGCCATGAACAATTAAAATTGATTTTTTTTCTTTTAATTCTTTTTTTGATAAATTAATTCTTTTTATTATTCAAAGCAACTGCCAGGTGGTAAAGAGTAAAGATGTTCAACGGCTATATTTCAATTTCTCGGTGACTTTCCAACGGATAAAACGATGATAATCCAACGGTTCTCCTTTGTCCAAAGCCTTTTTAAATTCGCTTATTCTAACGGTCAAAACCCAATCCATTCAAATACCCAGATTCTCCCTTCTTCAAAGCAACTAGCCGTTACGTTTTGTTTTACAATAATCAACAACTCATCAAATCTTAAAGATTCTCTTTTACATCCACAATCTCACCATTCTGGGTTCAAAGACATATTTTGTTTCCATTCCAGAAACTCAAAATCCCATTGAATACAAAGAACCAATAGAGAAAGAAAAAATTTTTACAAGGAAAAATTCCATCATGGCATCACCTGCCAAGACTTCTTCATCAATCCCATGTAGAACCAACCCTAATATGAAAAAATCCGAACTCTGCGATCCTATGGGAAGAAGTTTCAGTGGAAACCCTTTTACAAAGCCGTCAGTTATCACAAATCCCAGAGCTTTCAACCCCAACACTCCGGCTAATAGTCCTTCAGGTTCCATTTTCTTTTACTCTTCTTTCCTTTTCCTTTTAGATATACTACTCTCTGTTTGTTCGGGCTGTAGATTTGGGGTATGAAGTAAAGTGAAAGAAAAGTTGAGGCGTTATTTTGTTGTTCATGTGGTCTGGGTTCTAAAGGGAATAAAGAAAGGGAAATTTGGCTTTGAATTTTTGTTCCTTTTAATGTTAGTTTTTTTATCTGAATGTTCGGGTAGAAACTACACATTTACAGCATGATGTGTACTTGAACCATGATGGTTATTTCAAAGTGAGTTTTGAAGAAAGTTAGCTAGTGTCATAGTTGGAGAAGTTGCGATAGGGAAATTTCTCACGAAACAAACAGTAAGAGTTATGGTTCTGATGCTTTATCTGTTTTATCAACTTCCAGATTTTCCTCGAAGACATTCCACTGGCAGAGAAAGTGTAGCTTCTTTGCGTGATCCCGACAAGGAAAACAGTACAGACCAGAATCCAAAACAAACAAGAGTCAGATCTCCAGCTCTTTCAAAGTGTACAAAGAATTTCATGTCACCGACTATCTCTGCTGCTTCAAAGATGAATGCATCCCCAAGAAAGAAAATCTTGGTCGAGAGAAATGAGTCAGTTCGATCTTCTGTTTTATTCTCTGATGTAAACAGCATGATCATGGAAGACAACGAGTCAGCGCCAGAGACTGCTTTCAAGCAGAAGAAGGTCTCATTCTCTGATGTTAAAAGCGTCATCATGGAGGATGAATCAACCCGGGAGATTGGTTTGAACCAGAAGAAGGTTTCTTTTTCTGATGTTAAAAGCATAATCATGGAAGATGAGTCCACTCCAGAGATTGGTTTGAACCAGAATAAGGTGTCATTCGCTGATGTAAAAAGTGTAGTCATGGAAGGTAACGAGCCAACTCCACAGATTGGTTTGCAGCAGAAGAATGTTGAGGTGCCTCATGATTCACAAAGCAGCAACCATGAATATGGGGAACCTTTGAAAAGCAACGCAGATTTTGATTATAAGGAGTCCAAGAATGATTCTGATTTGTCACGGGAGACTGTTACAGTGGAAAAGGATTCAGTTAATATGGATCCAAGCTTCAAGATTTCACCTTCATGCCCTGTTTTACCACCACTTGATGCAGATCCATCGATCCTTCCTTATGACCCTAAAACCAATTACCTTTCTCCAAGGCCTCAGTTTCTTCACTATAGACCAAATCGTCGGATTGAGCTTTATCGGGAAAGAGAAGGCAAGCAGCTGGAGGAGCACTTTGCATCTGAAAGCTATTCAGATACTGATGTTACTGAAGAAACACAGTCTGAAGGTTCACAGAGAGAATCGGAGGATACTTCTTCAGAAGAAACAATGAAAGAAGGAGAAGAAGAGGAGGAGGAGCTTCATGTATCCGAAACAAATCCTATTGCCCCAGAAATGGTTGAAGGGCAATTCGTGGCTAAAAGAATGTGTAAGCCACGTTTTTCCACCAGATCAAAGTTCATTGCTTTGCTTCTGGTGCTGGTCTTTGCTTACTTTGCAGTTCTTGTAGCTAATTCTCCAGCCTTTACTTCTCCTGGATTGGAATTAAGCCTATTCAATTTTCACGTCCCACCAGAAGTCACTGAATTTGCAGAAGCTAATTTTGACCGTTTCACTCAAAATCTTCAGCACTGGTTGGTTAGCTTCTTGTCTTATGTTTCCAACATCATTTCCAGTTCAAGAGAAGTGCACAAACTGGGTTCCTTTGAATATGCTAATTTGAGTAATTTGCTAGAGGACCATATGGTTGAGGAGCACCACCTAATGTTTGATTACAGTGTAACAGAGCCTGTGAGGGAGAGAGATGCTGGAACTGAACTATTCGATGACAACTATTATCGAGAGACTGAAGCAGATGAGGCAGTAAATGAAGATGACGATGTAGAAGACCAAGAGAATGGAACTTTTGAAAACTTGGAACTGGATTCAGAAGGAGAACCTGATGAAGTACAGCAAGGAATTGAAGCTGAGATGATAGAACTGAATCAGTTAGAGGCAGAGGAGAGCAAAGGAGTTGAATTTGCTGCTCAGATTGATGCTGAACATCAAAGCAAGGTGGACCTTAAAGACCAGCCAAGCATAACCACACAGGCTACTGACATTCAACATGATATATCCAAAACTGGGGACCTTGAGGGTAATGACTTGAACAAAATGGCTGAAACTGTGTTCCCTAAAGAGGAAGTGATGTTTGATAACCGCAAAATTGAAGATTCCACCGACAACTCTCAAAGTTCTGAAGTAGTAGATTCTATAATTAATGGGCCAGAAGACCAATTTCTCACGAAGAATGTGATGGGTTTTTCTTTACTTATGTTGTGTCTATTAGCAGCAGCTTCAGCTTTCATCTACTCAAGGAAAGGAAAGCCCTCCATGCCAGCGTCAGTGCCTGTGGAACAACCAGTACTGGGGAAGAAATCTGAATACAGTCCAGTGAATGTTGGCTCAAAGGATACAATCCGTGAAAGGCTATCCTCCAGGAATTGGCAGACAGAAGTAGATACGGCTAATGAGTCATGCCCATCAGAAATGAGTAGCTTCCAGAGGACCTCATCATCATCCTATAGCAAGAAAGGAATCAAGGAGTCAAATGAATATCAGAGCCAAGAAAGGAAGACTAGGATGACTTACAGGAGAGAATCTCTTGCTTCATCAGATTACTCTACCGGTTCGCCTTCCTATGGTAGTTTTACCACGTACGAGAAGATACCTAGCAAGCATGTAAGTACATCATTGCTATTCATATTATATTTGTCTAAAATCATTCTTAACCACTAGCCAGACTTTGTTTCTTACACTTTCTTTCTGCTATATTTTGTTTTGAAGGGAGAAGAAGATGAGGAGATAATTACCCCAGTTAGGCGATCAAGCAGAATCAGAAACCAAGTCACTTCTCCATGATGATTGATAAATTGCATCTTATGTTTTTTACTACAATTGTCCTGCTTTGCAATTCCAATATAAATGAACCACTGTTATTGGATGCTGACATAGAGTAGAGCTTTATTGTAATTCGAACACGTTATTGGATGGTCTTCACTGATCAATTGTGATTCTTGCCAATCTAATTTAAATTTCTTCTTTCTTTCTTAAATGCGGTGCATTGATGCTTCGTTGGAGATTGGTCTATAATCTACTACGGAATTTTTTTTCCTGGTGCATTGACGTTCACTGGATATATTGAAACACAATATAACCAAAGTTTCCTTGGTTTTTTTTCCATTGCCATCTGTAATTGAAATGT